AGCCAAATAGGAGATTCAAATAGATGGAGTAAAGGATGATGCTCCATGAAGGAAATATCCTGGTTTCAAAGGAAGAGCATATCTTGACAGGGTAAGAGGCCAAGAATCCTTTTGAAGAAAAGGTACCATTTACTAAAAATGTCAGTCATAGTGACTATTGACAAGCAATAAATGAATTATCACAAATTGAGAAATTTAGACAAGTAGGCTGTTGACATAAGCAAGCCTGACTCTTGATCTCAGGGTTTTCCAGACATCAAGCATCCCTGAACCATGGCCCTTGTGCTATTAATTAATATTATCAGTTTCACTAACTCTTGCATTTATACAACCATAGCCCTAAGCAATAATATACATAACATTATGGACTAATGTGTTAATTATTCACTCCCATTAAAAGAAATGCATAACAAGGAACAATTTTAAATATTTATGTGTACTTTCTAATATCAGTCACTTCACTTTCCACCTGTTGTATTGTACATATTTCATAATTTGTGTGCAGTTTCATCTAGAGCTGTAAATTAATTCTATCTTGGAAAATATTTTCACAGAAGAATAAAGGATCCAAGGACAGTAGGCAAAAAAATGAAGCTCAAGGTCAAGGATTTGGCCAAATTCATCAAATTCTGTACAAAAAGAGACTAAATCATGCAGGTACTATATTTTGTTATCATGAAAAGTTGCTCTAATTATTTGCTAAGACAGTTTCTCAAATTTACCACTAAACTGATGGAAAATATAATTTTTATGATGATCTATTTCCCTTTTTTCTGACTTCACAAGTAAATGCAAGATGTTAAAAGGCGATTTTTTTTCTATTTCAATTTGGGTAAGGGTTCCTGAGAAACAGAGGCTCTATCAAAATGACTTGCTGTCCACCTAAGTAGCGCTTAGTCAAAAAAAGATAAAACTCTGAGTTCTAGTTCCAGTGCCTTCACTTTGGGGAGTAAGGAAAAGAAGCAAGCATACTGTCTGATTGTAAACACCACAGAGGGGATAAAGCAGTAACACATACTACACTAACACCTTGATGCCTAAGATTGATCATCCTTATCAAGTTTTTTTTTCCTTTTGCAATGTTTTATGCTACATATTTCATTATTTCATACCCCCCCCACACACAAATTACCACATCAAATTTCCCCTACAAACCAATGTATGTGTTGTTGTATTTTACAAATTATAAAACAGAGGCATAGAGAGGATGAATAACTGTCCAACTCTTTTTTTAAGAGACAGAGTCTTGCCCTGTCTCCCAGGCTGGAGGGCAGTGGCACGATATCAGCTCACTGCGGCCTCTGACTCCTGGATTCAAGCAGTCCTCCTACCTCAGCCTCCTGAGTAGCTGGGATTACAGGTGCATGCCACCATGCCTGGCTAATTTTTATGTTTTTGATAGAGATGGGGTTTCACTATATTGGCCAGGCTGGTCTCAAACTCCTCGCCTAAAGTAATACCTCTGCCTCAGCCTCCCAAAGTGCTGAGATTACAGGCATGAATCACTGCTCCTGACCCTGGACAACTCTTATGGTAAGAATCTCAAATAGAAAAAGTCAGAGCTGGTATCTGGACAAGACTATAATAAATCTACACCCGACATCACTGTGACACAAAACTTATATAATAAATTCATTTATAGAAACACTAACCTATATAATAATTCATTTCCTGTGAGCCCTGAAATCTCAGCAAATGCATCTATGTGCTCAAAATGCAATGGTGATAAAGAGAGGTTGATTAATGGGTATAAATATAAGAAATGGTATAAGAAATAAGGCCTGGTGTTTGATAGATCAGGAAGATGACTATAGTTAATGATAATCTACTGAACACTTCAAAATAGTTAGAAAACAAGAATTTGAATTTTCTAACATAAAGGAAAAGTAATGGATATCCCAATTTCCCTGATGTGATCTTTACACATTATATGAATGTATTAAATGTTCACCTGTACCCTGAAAATACGTACCTCCATTATGTATCAATGAAAAGAAGTAAGGCTGGGCCTAGTGTCTCATGCCTTGTAATCCTAGTACCTTGGGAGGGCAAGGTGTGCAGATCACCTGAGTTTAAGAGCTTGAAACCAATGTAGCCAACATGATAAAACCCTGTCTCTACTAAAAATACAAAAATTAGCTGGGCATGCCTGTAATTCCAGATATTCGGGAGGCTGAGGGAGGAGAGTCGCTTGAACCCGGGAGGCAGACGTTACAGTGAGCCAAGATCTCAACACTGCATTCCAGCCCGGGTGACAGAGTGAGAGAAGAAAGAAAAAAAAGAAAAGAAAAGAAAAGAAAGAAAGAAAAGAGAGAAAGAGGGAAAGAAAGGAAAGAAGGAAAGAAAGAAGGAAAGAGAAAGAAAGGAAAAGAAGGAAGGGAAAGAAAGAAGGAGAGAAAGAAAGAGAAAGAAAGAAAAAGAAAGAAAGGAAGGAAGGGAGGGAGGAGGGGTGGGTAGGGAAGGAAGGGAGAGAAAGGGAAGGAAGGAAAGAAGAGAAGAAAGACTTTTTAAATATGCAATGGGACATGAATGCAATTTTCCAGTTTCTTGGAAAACACACTTTATTTCATCCCTTCTAAGACATACCTCTCCATAATTCCATCTGAGCTCTATTTCCATTTCTTCCCTTTCCAGGGAGGGAAAGAACTTGTTATAGTTGAGGAAAAAGAAGAAAGGCTTAGTCTTTTCCTCTTTCATGCCAGAAACTTGATCAAAGGGATCAGATCTAGTTGTTCAATGGCTTTCAGAGGAGATATGCAGGAGGCCCCACACAGGAAGGAAGGGTTAAGACTATCTTTCTGAGGTTCAAGAGACCAGGAATAGCTCAGTACACCAAATATCTTTAGAACTTAGCTAAGTTAAATATTACTCCATTTGTGCAATTTAATTAACCTGCACCATATTATTATGACAATCATGTATTACTTTTAATGGCAAAAATCACAATTACTTTTGCACCAACCTAATAAATAGTGTGCATTGTCTTTCCCATAGATAGCCACTGCTGCATTAGGGAAATCTGTGTACAGGAAGGTATTGATGGTTTGGTACCTCCCTGTCAGCAGGTTAAGAGCAAATACTGGCTGGGTGCAGTGGCTCACACCTGTAATCCCAGCATTTTGGGAGGCCAAGGCGGGCAGATCACCTGAGGTCAGGAGTTTGAGATCAGTCTGGCCAACATGGTGAAACTCCATCTCTAATAAAAATACAAAAAATTAGCTAGGCATGGTGGCACATGCCTGTAATCCCAGCTACTCAGAGGCTGAGACAGAAGAATCGCTTGAACCTGGGAGGTGGAGGCTGCAGTGAGCTGAGATCAGGCCATTGCACTCCAGCCTGGGCAACAAGAGCAAAACTCTGTCTCAAAAAAAAAAAAAAAAAAAAAAAAAGCAATATTGCAAGGGTAACCTGGGGCTGAAGAAATTGCAAGTATAGCCTCAACAGAGGTTTTTACCACAAATGCAAAGTCTTTTTCTGGGACAATATTTTACAATGTTCATCAGTTTTCAAAAAAAAAAAAAATGACTTCATACTAGGGCACTTAATACTAGGGCTTAATTCTGACTATTCCTCTCAGTGGAAGTGTGGATCAGGTCTGAAAATGTGTCATTAAATTAGGCTGCAAGACAAGTTATGCTAATAAAATAAAGAACCTGGAAGAAGTGGCTTGTGTCTGTCAAAGACAAAATCATGCTGAAGTTACAGAGAATTTTGCTTAACATTGGCTTATACTTTATTCCTGCTTCATAAAAAGCGGTCTTCTCCCAAAGGTCACAAATATCAAAGTAGGTCATTTGTACTAGTTCTACAGGCAAATGAAGTAGTTGGAAGTGTACATAGGAAATCTATGCAAGGAACAATCATAAAAATCTTATGAGCATGTTCTGAATACAATTTTAGTGGCCAGGAGCAGTGGCTCATGACTATAATCCCAGCACTTTGGGAGGCCAGTGGGGGCGGATCACCTGAGGTCAGGAGTTTGAGACCAGCCTGGCCAACATGGTGAAATTCCATGTCTAGTAAAAATACAAAAATTAGCCAGGCATTTTGGTGGGACCTGTAATCCCAGCTACTCAGGAGGCTGAGGCAGGAGAATCACTTTAACTTGGAAGACTTCTATACTTTCAGAAATATAGTGCTCTGTCCTTAAATGTTCATTTTGTAAATACAGAACCAGTTTCTTGTTAATATCACAAAAATGAAACTTACCAGGAAGATAAATGACAACCCCACAACACACTGTTTTGTAGAAAATACCATAGACTGAAAAGAACACAGGAATAGTGAGTGCTAAATTGGAATCTTTCATGACACCAAATGTTCATTCATTCTCTTCCAGATTTTACAACCTTCCTCTGTGTGTTTTTAGGTTGTGTAACTTTACACGAAGTGAAAGCAATAATCAGGGCAAGACTGAGAAAGTGGATCCAATGCAAGAAGAGTAAAGAAAAAATCCCTCAAATATGTGGAGCAGATTGCTTTAATTATCTACAGATTCTTCTGCCCCAAGAAATTAATAGCTCAAGTTTCCAGCAAAGAGTGGTGAATGAGATAGGGAGCATTTGTGAGAGAGAGCAAGGATATTGCTAAAAATCAAAGGGAAGCTGGGTTCCTCCTGGGCTAACAGCCCTCTGTGGCTTTATTTATTCTACCCTACTATGCCTTCCTTCATGTACTTTGTTCATTTAGCGGTCTGCCCAAAGGACAGTTACAAAATCTGTGGTCATTCTGCAGGCAGCATAGTTTTCATCCAGAGTCCAAATTCAACTGGTAAAACTCTGTCTTACACAGGATGACTTAGAATTAGAGTTCTTATGGCAGAAAGAGCAATAGGGCTGTCCTTGGGTATCTGTTGCTCAGCCAAGTCATCAGATAAAAAGGCTGATTGCACAGTAGACCATGTGCCAATCTGCGGGTTTTTGCATGGCCAAGAGTCAGACCCTCCCTCCTGGCTCTGCTGGCCCAATCCACCAAGAGCTGCTTTATTTAAACAGTTCCAAGTAGGGAAGACCAGCTGCCCCCGAACCCCAGAAAGACCAACTGGATCAGTTCTCGCAGGAGCTGCAGTGCAGAGACTGGGTAAGTCAACATCTCCAAAGCTGGGACAGGAGGGGCAGCGATTGGTCAGCAACTGAGGGAGAGGTGAACTGAAGTTAGGGCTTAGGAGATGTGGCACACTTTGCAGACAAGAACAAAAAGGAAATGGAACCCCCACGTGGCAGCAGAGGGGCCTGTGGGGTGAGACACCACAGTGAGTCATAACCGAGACCAGATCAGGGAGTAGTTACTTCTCTTCTCTTCTTTTCTCACAGGAAACATGGTTCCAAAACTGTTCACTTCCCAAATTTGTCTGCTTCTTCTGTTGGGGCTTTTGGGTGTGGAGGGCTCACTCCATGCCAAACCCCGGCAGTTTTCCTGGGCTCAGTGGTTTAGCATCCAGCACATCCAAATGGCACCCCTCCGCTGCACCTATGCAATGCGGGCAATTAACAAGTATGAACGTCGATGCAAAAACCAAAATACTTTTCTTCATACAACTTTTGCTGATGTAGTTAATGTTTGTGGTAACACAAATATGACCTGCCCTCGTAATGCATCTCTCCACAATTGTCATCACAGTAGAGTCCAGGTGCCTTTAACCTACTGTAACCTCACAGGTCCACCGACTATTTCAAACTGTGTGTATTCCTCGACTCAAGCAAACATGTTCTATGTAGTTGCATGTGACAACAGAGATCCACGAGACTCTCCACAGTATCCAGTGGTTCCGGTTCACCTGGATACCATCATCTAAGCTCCTGTATCAGCACTCCTCATCATCACTCATCTACCAAGCTCTTCAATCATAGCAAAGATCCCATTCCTCCATGTACCCTGGGTATCAGCATCTATCCTCATCAGTCTCCATACCCCTTCAGGTTTCCTGAGCTGAAGTGCCTTGTGAACCTCGCAATAAACTGCATTGGAAATTCATCTGGAAGTGTCTGTGTGTCTACTCCAGCTGCTCTGCTGTCATTTACTGACAATCTACTCTAGAGATTTTTTCCTTCCTCTAACCTGAGATTTGCAGGAAATAGATTTCAGGATAAGAGACTTTTTTCTGTCATGAAGCAGCACGGACTTATCCTTCTCCCTGCTTTAGGCTGAAAAACTAAGGTCTCAACTGACATCTACCAACTGTCCAAGACTCTTGCCTTCACCAAACTTTAGTCATCTCCTCTGAGCCCTCTCCACAACTAGGTCATTCATTCCTAGTCCTTTCTTGTAGAGTCAGGTTTATATTTATATTTTAATTTATTTTTACTTATTTACTTTTTGAAACAGAGTCTTGCTTTGTCACCCAGGTTGGAGTGCAGTGGTGAGATCTTGGCTCACTACAACCTCTGACTCCTGGGTTCAAGCTATTCTCCTGCCTCAGCCTCCCAAGTAGCTGGGATTATATGCATGTGCCACCACACCCGGCCAATTTTTGCAATTTAATAGAGACCAGGTTTTACCATATTGGCCAGGCTGGTCTCAAACTCCTGACCTCAGGTGATCTGCCTGTCTCAGCCTCCCAAAGTGCTGGGATTACAGGCATGAGCTACCAGTGCCTAACAAGAGTCAGGTTTTAAAGAAGTCCTCCTAACTTGGTTTATCATGAATCTCTCACCCTCAATATCTGACCAAATTCCTTAATTCCCCCATCATCCTCCATGTGATACCTTATTCCTGGTCTGCCTTCAAAATATATATATATATATATCCAATTGAGTCAACTTAGTATTGGTCCCCTGGCCTTGATATCTCCTCTATGTAATTTTCCATCCACTGACCCCTCCCCCTACACCCACCTATAACTTGTGTATAGATCTCCACTTGTTTTAGTTGTATTCCAGAATAAAGCCCAATTTGATACTGAGGTCCCATTTGATGCTTTATGGTACAAGTCTGATTTTTATAGGCATGATTTCTATCCCAAGAGATATAGAGGCTGCAGTGAATAAACTGAAAATGCACGTGTTTGATTATGATTATGAATAATACATTTTTATGGAACTGAACATTATGATAGAAAACAAAAAAAAAGCAGAAAAAGTCAAGAATGCTTTAAATATTGTAAAACCAAGATTTAAGAAAAGTTTAGCCTCAGAGAGATTTCTTTTAAATGAGCGCTTCAAATCTCCAGCTATCAGCAATTGTACTAGAGGTGGATCCAGCATTTGAGTCAAATGTGGAATGAGATAAATTGTTCAGACAGCAATATGGACAGATTGTAATACTGCCTGGAGGAAAGATGGGCATCTTTTCCAAAATTTCCATGTCCCGGAGATGGGGAGCATCTGGTCACTTGGGAAGGAGAAAGGGAAGGAGGAGGATAGAGAATTGCAAGCACTCATCAAGGTGATTGGCTCCTGCCCATTCTGCCCTCCACAGCTGTCCCCAATGGTGAGTCAAGGGGTTCATTCAACGCCTGTCAGGAAAGCACAGCCTCTAAAATTAGGGATTTGTGGACCCAGAGAGAGAAGAAATGGATAATGAGAGCCCTTGCCCTGGCCTCCATTACAGGGCTTCACTCAAGAATCCATGAGTAACAGTTAGGGAAAGCCCCTTCTTGCAAGTTATAGACAAGTGTAGCAATCAAGTGATTGTTTTGGGGACCGAGTGGGTCTTTTTGGATGGCCTGACTCACAATACAACAGAGATATGATGCCATCAGATCTACATCTTGGTCCTTCAGTCTGCGATTTCTGACTTCTATATTCTTGCTCCTCTTCCAGACCCTCAGAAATAGTAATTTCCATTCCTCGGATGACTCCGTGTCAGTAGTGGCACCAGAAAGCAGCTGTATTTAAGTCTCTCCTCTGGAGAAGCTACTGAGATCTTGCTTCTCCAAGGAGGGGCTGTGAACTTAAAAGTTTGCACAGGGATACCGGGTTCAGGAAATCCCAGTGCCCAACAGAATCCACTGACTGTAGGTAAAATAGGGCATGTCAGGAAGTGAGTCCACTCTTTTCAGAAGCTCAAAGTGGCAGAAGGAGAAGATGGGACACTGAAAGCTGGAGCCACATTTCCTGTAAAGAAAGATGGAGCAGACCTTCGCTTCAGGTACCAGATCACAGTCAGGGATGCCTCATGTCTAAAACCATAGGATAGAGGGATCACACCCTCTCCACCTTGTGTCCTCATCCCAAAGACATGATCCTTGGAGTCCACTTCTCTTCCTTGAACCTCCAATGTCTGATTTTATAAAACTCTTTTAATATCAAATTTTCAGGAAGTCTTGCAGGAGTAAATGCAGTTAATTGTTGTATAAGTAGGCAGGGAGGGTCTCCAGGGATTATAAGAATTTAACCAACTTGAGCAATCACCCTGTTTTACAGGCTTGCTGGTGGGAATCAACTCCTGGCATAACCCAGCAACTTACAAACTGCCACGAAATTTCCTCATTACCATGCTAAAGTTTCCACCTGAGGAGGCTATAGCTTCATTATGATAACATGTGAACTATGTGCTGGCAGAATCATTCCCTGTGTCTGGACAACTGAGACTCCAGATTTAACAACTGTCTACACACGAAAAAACCACCTACATAGGAAACGAAAATCAAGTCAACTATCATAGTATCTGATTTAAACTTCATATCACTGAAAGAGGCACTGATGTGGTTAGGAAAACAAGATTGAATCACTAAGGCCACCACTCCCCCATCTCCCAGCAGCCACCACATGGAGCTGAGAGAGAACCTGAGTGCATGGGGGAGGGAGAATGCAGCAATTCCAGAAATCTGCATTGAACTCAGTGCTGTCCTGTCACAGCCCACCCACAGAGGGAGCATTTAGACCAACCTTAGCCAAAGGGGAATTGCCTATCCCAGTGGTCAGAACCTGAGTTTGGGAAAGCCTTGCCACAGCAGGATAAAGTGCTTTGGGGTCCTAAATACATTGGAAAGGCAATCTAGGCCACAAGAACTACAACTACAAGGCAAGTCTCAGTGCTGCGCTGGGCTCAGAGCCAGTGGACTCGGATACCACTAGCGTGACACCTGTCAGGGCAGCTAAGGGACTGCTTGCCCAACCCCTCCCCAAAACCCAGGCAGCACAGCTTACAGCAATGGAAGTGACTCCTTCCTTCTGCTTGAGGAGAGGAGAGGAAAGAGTAACTTGGACTTTGTCTTACATTGTAAACATCTGCTCAGCCATAGTAGGATAGGGCACCAATCAGTCATGAAGCTGCTATTTCAGGCCCTTGCTCCTGAAGGACATTTCTAGACACACCATGCACCAGAAGAAAACCCACTGCCTAGAAGGAAAGGACCCAGTCCTGCCAGGATTCATCATCTGCTGACTGAAGAACCCTCAGGCCCTAAATAACCAGCAGCAATATTCAGTAGTACACTCCCTTGGCCTTGGGTGAGACTCCCAGATATACTGACTTCAGGTGAAACCCACCATATTCACAGCTGTGGTAGTCATGAAGAGAGAATCCTTCTACTTGAGAAAAGCAGAGGGAAAAGTAAAGGGGACACTGTCTTGCAGCTTAGATACCAGCTCAGCTACAGTAGGGTAGAGCACCAAGCGGGTTCTTAGGGTCCCCAATTCCAGATCTTGGCTCTTGGTTGGCATTTCTAGACCTGCCCTGAGTCAGAGAGGAGACTACCGCCTTGAAGGATGAGTCTCAGGCCAGGAAGCATTCACCACAAGCTAACTGAGGAGACCTTGGGCCTTAAGGGAATGTTGGTGGCAGCCTGGCCGTACTCCCTTTGGGCCTGTGGTGGAGGTAGCTGCAGGGAGAGGCTCCTCTGCCTGTGGAAAGGTAAGGGAAAAGTGGAAGGACTCCGTCTCATGGCTTGAGTGCAAGTCACCCACAGTACAACAAAACACCACATAAACTTCTCAGGTTTTTTACTTCGGTCCCTGGCTCTCAGATAGTACCTCTGGATATGCCTGGGCCTAGAGAAACTCATCAACCTGAAGGGAAGGACACAAGCCTGGCTGGTATTGCCACCTGCTAATTGTAGAACTCTAGGGTCTTGGGCAGCATAGGCAATAGCCAGGTAGTAGTTATAGAGGGCCTTGGATAAGACTCAGCGCTGTGCTGGATTCGGGTCTTACCCAGCACTGTCCCAGTGGTGGTGACCACAGGGGTGCTTGTGTCACCCAACCACCAGCTCCAGACAGCTCAACACACAGAGAGAGACATCACTGGTTTGAGAGAAAGTGAGGAAAGAAAACAAGAGTCTCTGTCTTGTAATCCAGAGAATTCTGAAGAAATTCTGGAGTTTAAAATGTAATCAACATACTGAAGAATTCATGAGAATATCTTAACAGCAGAATTGATCAAGCAGAACAACTTAGTGAGATTAAAGATAGGTGAGTTGAAAATATACTGTCAGAGGACACAAAACAAAAAAGAATAAAAAAAGAAATGAAGCACACCTATGAGATCTAGAACATAGCCTTCAAAAGGGAAAATTTAAGAGTTCTTTATCTTAAAGAGGCAATAGAGAAAGAGATAGGAGTAGAAGTTTATTCAAAGGGATAACAGTGAACTTCCCAAAGCTATCAATATTTGAGAAAGAGACCCATATTTGAGTACGAAAAGATTAGAGAACACCAAGCAGATTTAACTCAAAGAAGACTACATCAATGCATTTAATAATCAAATTCACAAAGTCAAGGGTAAAGAAAGGATCCTAAAAGCAGCAGGAGAAAAGAAAGAAATAATACACAATGAAGCTCCAATATGTCTAGCAGCAGACTTTTCAGTGGAAGCCCTACAGGCCAGGAGAGGCAGGACATATTTAAAGTGCTGAGAAAAAAATAAAATAAAACTTTAATGCTAGGATAATATATCCAGTGAAAATATCCTTCAATCATGAAGGAAAAATAAAGGCTTTCCCAGGCAAACAAAAGCTGAGAAATTTTACCAACATCAAAATTTTCCTACAAGAAATGGTAAAGGGTATACTTCAATCAGAAATAAAAAGACAT